AGTTCATCGGCGCTGATTTTGAGAAGGAGCTGAAGCGGAAGGGGATCCAGCATCAGCTCACAGTGCCTTACAACCCTCAGCAAAATGGCATGGCTGAGCGGTTCAACCGGACCCTGCAGGAAGGTGCTCGCACTCTCCTTGGGCGTGCAGGGCTGCCGGATCCGTTTTGGGTGACAGCACTGCGGCAGGTCGTTGTTGTGAAGAACCGGGTGCTGGCGACTGTGGGGGACAAGCAATGGGTCCCCTACACCAAGTGGTATGGGAGTGCGCCTGCAGTCAACATGCTGAGAACTTATGGCTGCATGGTGGTGTTTCATGTGCCTAAGGAGAAGAGGGGAAAACTGGAAGCTTCTGGGAGATGGGGTGTGCACTTGGGGCTTGCTAAGGATCACAAGGGCTGGCTGATTTGGGACTTGACCAGCCAGCAGCTGACTGTGTCAAGGGATGTGAAGTTCCTTGAGTCCTTGTACTACAAAGAGTGGAAGCAGCAGCAGCAGCAGCAGAAGCTTCCTACGACACCGCTAATTGTTGAGGCCGATGAGGTGCAGCGGCCTTCGAGGCAGGTGGAGGTTTCTGTCTCCAGGGAGGAGATCTCTGGGGTGACTGATGATGGGGGAGAACCTGAGGTGGAGCAGCAGCAGCAGCAGCAGCAGCAGGAGGAGCAAGGTGCTCCACAAGGTGCCGGACGTACGGCTGACCGTCCTAGGAGGGATGTGCGCCCTCCTAACAGGCTGACCTATGCAAGCCGTGGCAAGCCAAAGGTGGTGAGGGCTGGGAGTGTGGCTGAGCAGTGTGATGAGGATGAGATAGCACACTGCTATTGGGCAGCCGTCCCTGAGCCCAAGACGCTAGCTGAGGCATTGAGCGGGCCCGATGCTGAAAAGTGGAAGCAGAGTGTGAAGGAGGAGTATGATTCTCTGCTAGAGAATGAGACGTGGGAGCTGTGTGAGCTGCCACCCGGGAAGAAGGCCATTTCTTCCAAGCTGATTTTCAGGCACAAGTACGGACCTGATGGGGCGCTGACCCGCTACAAGTCAAGGCTTGTGGCTAAGGGGTTCCAGCAGACAAAGGGAAAGGACTTCAACGAGCTCTATGCTCCTGTGGGGAAAGGCACAACACTTCGGGTGTCATTGGCAATGGCAGCAAACCGTGGATGGCGGGTGAAGCAGATGGACATCACCACCGCCTTCCTCAATGGGATCATTCTGGAGGAGCTGTACATGTTACAGCCTGAGGGTTTGGATGATGGGAGCGGCAGGGTGTGCAGGCTGAAGAAGGCCATCTATGGCCTGAAGCAGGCTCCTCGTGCATGGTACCACAAGTTAGAGGAGACTCTGCTGGCTGGGGGTTTCAAGAAGAGTGAGTGTGATCACAGCTTGTTCCTGCTGCAGGAGAAGGAGCAGTTTCTCATGCTCCTGGTGTAGGTGGACGACATCCTGCTCTTCTCTGATTCGTCTGCAATGATTGAGCATGTGGAGGAGATGCTGGAGATGCAGTTCAAGTGCTCCAAGATGGGAGATGTGAAGTACTATTTAGGGATGCATGTGGAGAGGGACCTTGACAAGGGAGTGTTGAGGTTGCACCAGAGAAAGTACTGTGAGGGGCTGGCTGAGAAGTATGGGCTGCAAGATGGAGGAAAGCCAGCCACCCCACTGCCTTCGGGGTTCACTGTGGAGCCCTGTGCTGATGAGGAGGTGGTGGGTGAGAGTGACAGGAAACTTTTTCATTCCATGGTTGGGGCACTCAACTATGCGGCTAACCACACACGGCCTGACATTGCCTTTGCAACATCCAGGCTTGCCAGTGTGGTTTCACGCCCCAGTCATGAGCAGCTGGAGGCGGCCAAGAGGTTGGTCCGCTATGTGAGTGCAACGGCATCAGTGGGCTTGGAGTACAGTGCTGTGAGGCAGAGGCTGCAGAGGGGTGCAGCTGATTTGAGCAAGGGGGAGATGCTCCTGACCTGCTACACTGACGCTAGCTTCAACTCGGTGAAAGCGGATGGCACCAGCATTGGAGGCTATGTGTGCCTGTTCGGAGGTGGTGCAGTGAGCTGGCGCAGTAAGAAGCAGAATGAAGTGGGGCAGTCCTCGTGTGAGACAGAGTACATGGCCCTGCATCATGGGGCAAAGAAGGTGGTGTGGCTGAGGCGTTTGTTGGAGGAGATTGGAGTTGGTCAGAGGGAGCCGACTGTGATTTTCTGTGACAATGAGTCGGCGGTGAAGCTAGCGAAGAATGCTTGTCTTCATGGGCTGACCAAACACATCAGGCCTAAGTGGCACTGAGTGAGAAGGCTCCTGGACAAGGAGGTGCGGCTGGAGATTGTGAAGACCCATCAGCAGGCGGCTGACATTCTCACCAAGCGCCTGGCTGAATCTGAGCATTGGAAGGGCATGAAGCTTGCTGGGATGAGTGTGCATTGAGGTTGCATGCTTGAGCTATGACATGTGGGATGATGGTTGGCAGCCAGAGGGGGAGTTTGTTGAGTGATGCTACCATTCGCATTCACGTCTGTCTGCCTCCCATCATATGTTCGTGCGTTGCATGCGTGTTGTGAGTGTGTGCAGAAATTTGTGTTTTGTGCGGTTTGGTTTTTCTGAGTTTGTGTGTGTGAATGTTATTTGGCTTGAGCAGATATCTGAAGTGACTCCTCTGCTCAAGAGCTTTCCGAGGAACCAAGTATCGCTTCAATCGGAGCACGAACAAGAAAGTTACGAACGTTGGAGTTCGTATGCTTTTGATATTTGGTTGTGGTGACTATGGGAAGTTGTGGGGTTGACTCAATATGGGGTACAGACTTTTGAGGGTTGGGAAATTCGTCTTTTCTACTGTAGTTGCTGCCAAATGGTTGGGAGAAACCAAACCAGGCTGGCAAGTGTGGCCAAGTTGGGTTGAGGTGGATTGTGGAGGTTGGGATAGTGACAAAGGTCAAAGTTGGGTTGCCTATGGGGAAGGGAATTGTATGGCATGGGGTTTCCTTGGTTGGGGACTCTCTTGGGACCTTCTCTCTCGTCCTCCTCATCCCTTCCACCTGGTTTAGTGCTACTCCAATTCTCTTGTGTGAACTTGTGTGAACTTTGTGATTGAGTTAAGATTCTATGGCAGCATACCCCATAGTGCGCCGAAATTGATAGCTCAAGAAATACTTCATCTTTTCGCATGATTCAACTTGGGAATTGTAGCCACGGAGTAGAGCTACAACATATTCGAGTTTGATGAAGTTTTGACTGTGAACTTTTCGTCGACGGCGTTTCTTGTGAACTCGACTTTTCTGTTCAGAAACTAGGCCCAACGATGTTGAGATATTTTGGCTACTAATCTTCATAGACTCCGTCCTCAGTCTCTAACACTTAATACGCTACAATATGACGTGCAAAGATGAAAGTCTTGACGCCAGGGCAACAAGTGAAAAAGCGAATTACATTCTAACGGGTATTCGGAGCAGGTACCGTCCATCAAGCAACGTTTCGAAGAGTCCAGAATACAGTGGACCCGCCCCCAAAAGAAGGAACAGGGGGTACGTAGAGGAGCGTGGACGAGTCAGAATCGCTCGAGCGTAGGTCGGGGAACAACCTCGGCCAATCACTGCATGACATGCTGTGTTTACGTAGGATAGTACCCCCGTTGGCCAATCATAGCATGACATCAGTGTTTACGTAGGATAGTACCCCCGTTGCTGAACCAGAAGCACACGGCCTCAAGCGCACATTTGCGTCGTTCTCAACCACGCCCCAATCCAACCATTCAGAATCTGGGCTGTATTTGTGCCTTGACGGGTGAAGTTGCATTCACACTATTCGTCTCAGTCTGCTACGATGTTACCCACGAGCGTGTTCAGCCCTCCAGGCATTCGGTCGTCGCCGCGCCACCACAGCCACCAAGCTCACAAGGATGGGGCATTCCACTATTACGGAATCCCTGGCCAGCGTAGACGCCAGGTGGGCGCCGGCGGGCAGGCCGCATTGGCGGGTGAACCAAGGTCAAGGCGGAGCGACATCGAGGAACCCGAGGCTTGCTACTCGGCGTGGGGTAACGGGAGCTACGATGCGGAAGGTGACGAAACCTCGGCAGCCGCGAGCGAAGAGATGCAAGTCGGCGTCGCGGCCGGCAATCAGCCGGTCGATGAGGAGGTAGAAGGTGATGTATCGTGGTTGCACGTTGACGTCGGATTTGTACTATGAGGGTCGATCCTCCGGTTTCAAGAGCATCTAGTCTTAACGCATCCAATTCTATGACTAACGAGTGCGTCCTTGTTTTAACAATGATTGGGCGTCGACACCAGCTCGCGGGCGCCTGCGACGCCCAATAGCAGATGTCTCTGAGGCCGCTCCAAGGGCACCATCGGTGGACCGCGACGGCAATCCTGCTAATCTCAGGAGCGGTGGAAGGGGGCCGGACGTCCCAGGGTGCAGAAACGGCGCTGGGACACGGCGGATCACGCAAGAGTATGTGGAAGGCTTGGAAAGAAGAGTGCGGGATGCGGATATGCAAGCCTTGCGCGCGCGTGGCACTCCACCTGGAATGTCCGACGATCCCGGACATGGCGATGCCTCCCCAACCTTCCGAAACGGTGCGGGGAAGCGAGGAAGGCGCGACATCGAGACACCTGGTCCGGCCGGCCGACATGTGCATCCCGATCCCGCCGTGCAGAAAAGCCGCCGCGGTCAATACTCACCGTTCGTGTCACGTGCCTTACAGAGGGAGTTTCACGCGATCCACTCGGGAGGCGTAGTGATGACTCCAGGTATCAAGACATACGCGAGCACGTTGGGCGAGGCGGATTTGGCTATTCCAACACTCGACGAAGGATTGCAGGCGAGTGGATTTCCTAGCTTCCCCCTTGTTACAATCTGCTGGTGCCAACCACAGTGTGATTACACTGACCACACTTTTTTCCTTCTGATTGGCAGGACACCGTGGAGGTAGCGATCGATGTTCTCATATTTGAGCTAGCGGACAACTTAATGAGTTTCTGGCCGTCAGACGCCGTCGTCGAGCGAGTGATGGCGAAGTCAATAGGCATCGAAGGGAAGGAGGACCGAAGGCGTCTCCATGTTGTGTGGTCTCTTGATAAGGAGCGCGCCAAAACCTTCACGCTCCGGATGCAGAAATGCCGCTCGACGTTGTGGGACATCGTGAGGGCTTACTTCATGGTGCTCAACAGGATGCCCTACGAGAAGCCGAAGAGCTCTCGAGTGCTTCCGCCTGCTCGACCAGACCCTTCGGTGACACCGCGCACAACCGTGGCGGATTTTCTGAAGGATAAGGCACCAGGTACATACAAGGATCCTTTCGTTCTCCAAACTGCAGCTCTAAATATGTTCATTCTGACATCGTGCTCTGCTCTTTGTTTCCTTGAATGGACTGCAGGGTGCGGGACCCATGAACTCTTCACATGGCATGTGGAGAACGGCGTCCCGTTCGCCACAGAGGCGTTTGACGTCGGCCTTTACGAAACGTTCAACAGCCGCTCATATGGAGGTGGTCAGATGGTGTTGAAGCTCACTGGAGTGGCGTTCTGGCTGTTCGGGGTGAGCCAAATTTTCTTTTCTCACTTGACCGGTTTCTCCAAGCTGCAAAGGTCCTTCTGACATAGGTCCGCGTGTCCCATGTCTGACAGGTGGAGACTCCGCTGAAGACGGGGAAGCCGCTGACGAAGAGTGGTGGGCAGAATGACCAGGGCGTGCGCTGGTATCACTCCCGTATTCGGGCCTGGGCACGTGTTGCTATTCTTTCCCGCACCCCTGAGCGGGGCCCTTGGTGGAAGGCGAGGCACAGGGCATGGGCATTCAGGCAGAACGCCCTGGTGCTGATTTCAGATGATGGAATTGATCTGGGATTCAACGATGCCGTCGAGGCGCCCTAGAGGCCGGGCGTCTAGTTGATGTGTTTGGATGTGTTGCATGGGATGTTTGTGTAGTTTAAATGCATTATGATTGCATGGAATCAATGTTTGACCTAGACAGCACACTCTTTATTGCGATTGATTCTGTTGAAGAACTGTGTTAATACCATGGAACACCTCAGAAGTACTGCATGTTGCCTGCATAGATTTATTGTTTGCATAGAGAAATGTTGTTCCAAAATTTAGATTTCTGTATGTTTGTACATGTGGAAAATGTTAAAGTACTGTACTTGGAGTAGTGTTCTTATCATTTGTATTGATTTTGTGACTGATTATGTGTGATAGTATCGAAGGCTTTGCCAGCTCTTAGGTCTAGGACAGACTGTTGTTAGTCAAGTGTTCTGTGTTACACGGAGGGAGTTACTGTCTTGCGTGATTCTCGCAGGGGCAAATCGCCGGATCCCATGGGCCAATAACGTGACACTGGTGTGGAAGATGCTGGTGAGTTCGGGAGGACTCTGATAACGTTGTGGCGGAGTTCCGAGTGCGTTTGCCCCACGATCCGAGGCCTTGGATCCGTGTGCTCCGGATTCCGAAGGGCTTGGGCGCAAGGCTCCGCCGCATACGACAAGGCCAGCCGCTCACAATTCCGCGCCCACCTGACCGTGAAAAATGTGTTCCAACCAACCTGCCCGTGACCCTTTGTGCCAGTGATGTTTGTCGCGAATGACATTTTTCGCCATCGTAACTCTTTGGCCGACAAGTGACGACCGCCGGTCGCATGGCCGGTTGCGACCAACTGGTCTTCTCTGCGTCGTTATATGCTTTAACTCGGTTTTTTTTTTTTGCTGCCACCTTAAAGCTGCAGCAGGTGTGTTCCTTTATACCTTTGATCTTATGTGTTTTATAAATAACATGAGTACAAGTGTAGCATCCTACGTTTGCTCATTGTGTTTTATAGTCATTGTTTACCAACTGTAGGTGTTCTACACACGTGGCAATGGCAACAGTTGTTGTCAGAGTCCCAAGGCTGCAAGAGCCAATAAGCGTCGAGTAGGGAACTTTCTCCCAGTTGTTTTTTAATTTTTTGGCGGGAGAATCATCCAGCCCAGGGTTGGATGACCAGATCTGGACACGGGCTTCTGTGCGTGGTGGATGGGTATGAATGGATGTTTTCATGCTCATTTGCTTCTTTTCATTTGCATTTCATGCTCCGCAAGCTCTTTGAGATCTTTTCATCCAGCACCTGTTAGGCCACCAGCGTAGTCTTTTAAGCCTGCTTGGCCCACTGGCAGAACATTGGCGTCCTCGACGTAGTGACGTAGGTCGTATAGAGTGGGTTTTTTTATTTTGGGTCAGCCCGGTTAGGATAACTGCAGTCGCACTTGTTCGGTCGCTTATGTAGGCGCAGATGTGTGTGGTATAATATTTTGTCGGTAGAACTGTTTGTATTTGCCCGGAACAATTGACGTAGGTCGCCCGCTCTTGTAGCCGGACATCTTCGACGTTAGGCTTTTTTTATCGGTAAAAGTATTCGCTCCCAATCCATAATATCGTCGAACCCACGAAAGTTATGTACAAGCATAAGGGTTCCGTAGATGATTATATCCGTATAATGGTAGGAACTCATTTTCGTTGTTTCGTTGTAGAGAATTAAAGCGGTAAAACAAAGGGTGACAGAGCTATACGGTACGGGACAGGCAGGCGACCCTGTATACGCAAGTTGTAGGCGCAGATATATGTAAACGCAAGTTGTAGGCGGTGTTCGAAGACCAATGTGCAGACGTCTGAAGCACAGACTCTCTTACGCCTTCTGCGCTTAGCCCACTAAGCATTCTGCCTATGTTATCTGCACACTTGCGAATCGTTACCATCTACCGCGGCTGACACCATCCGTTTCTTTCGTCTAGTCTCGGTTGCTAGCTAATAAATTAGGAATCTGTGAATGGCCGACAGCTCGGTCCACTCTCGCCCCATGGCAGCCCTGTCAGAGGTCCACTGGTGATCCCCGATTGATCCTAGGGAAGGGTTACAGGCTCGTTGCCCTGGGGGGTTATGGGCGCACTGACCCGCTACTTAACAAGCCCTTCTATCCCAGTGGTTAGTGGCTGGGATTCTGACATGGTATCAGAGCGAAGGTCTCGGGTTCGAATCCCAGTGTGTGCACTTCGGGCATCCCAGTGCGGGGGGGTGTCAGAGGTCCACTGGTGATCCCCGATTGATCCTAGGGAAGGGTTACAGGCTCGTTGCCCTGGGGGGTTATGGGCGCACTAACCCGCTACTTAACAAGCCCTTCTATCCCAGTGGTTAGTGGCTGGGATTCTGACAAGCCCAGGGCGCAGAGGATGAAGAAGAAGACCTGGAGGACGATGAAAATACTGACCAAGACTACGCACAGGATCGCGAGAACGATAGCGAGTTTGAGGCGACCGAGGAGGATTTGTTTCAGGGTGGTCTCTACGAACCATCCGTCCGGATTCAAGTCCAGGGGAGTGAAGAAGAGAGTGAAGGGCCGGGAGGCGATGGAGTGCGCCCACGACCCGGTGCACCCGAAGAACGGTACGAGGAGGATGGAGATCACTCTGACGCAGAAGAGGAGGGAGAATCATCGCCGGGACGACGACGACCTCCCGATTCTGCGAGCCATGTCGAGCAGGCTGCGGCCCCCGGAAATGCGCAGCGGCAGACCGACGTTGCGGAAAAGGAGAGCAGGATCCGGCGTTCAACAATCCCGCTTCGACTGATAGAGGCCGGGACGAGAAGGCACTATTGTTTCCACTTTCTACACTTCAAGTGGTGGGTGATAATCTTCATGGCAACTATGGTAGATGTCCCTGTGGCAGATAGGCTTGCTCCCTCTCTGCACGACGAAGTTGGGTTTCATATGAGCAATAACTTGGGAAATGATGAGTGGTCGTGCAGCTCTGATGAGTGGCAGATTCATCTGCACGGGCCGCGAGTCACGGAATGGAGGCTCGGCCGATACATCGAGTATCTCTTATGCGAAACTGACGAGCAGGCAAAGTTTTTGCGTGGAAAAATGCGGCCAGTTGTCGAGAAATATGTGGGGAAGGAGGCAAAGGGGTGCACGGCTTCAATGATCAAGGCAAAGATGAACGCAATGGGATGCCTTGCCAGATGCGAGGCGAGGCTCTACGGCTTCTCCATCACACTGACCAAGGACTGGATCAAGGATGCTCGGGATTATTTCAAAGTCAAGCTGAAGGATCTGAACAACGAGCAAGTCGCGTGAGTAACATATACGTGTGCTTTCTGGCTGTGTGAATGTTGTTATACATGGTTTACATAATTACTGTGCTATTCTATGCAGGGATGGTCGAGATCAAACCCGTGGATCAATTGGTGATTGCTATACGGGAAGCCAGTATAGGACGCTGCATCTTACTGTTCTGCGAAAAGAGCTCCTAGAGATCTGGTGGCGGACGCCTCCATCACAAATCTCGCTTCCTCTCTGGAAGGCTCTGCAAGTCCCAGTTATGATGCACCTCGGACACCAATTTCTCAGAAGAGGGTGCAGCATTCGAAAGATTCGACTTGGGAACCTGTTTGTCCGCATGACGCGGAGCACATCACACCTCGACGACTATCTGGACGTTTTCGTACTCGTCATTGTTTCCAGGAAGTCGAAGACCAACCCCAACAACAAGCTGAGTCATCAGTTTCTTGCAAGGCATAGGGACTGGCGGCTCTGCGGAATGGGCCATGTGTTCCTGTGGCTTTATTTCATCTACGACCTCGTTCCTCTGCGCTACGGCCCCGGTATCGTCGAGCCTCTCGACCTTTCTGAACCGATCTTGTGGACGAAAGCGCACCTCTTCTTTTCTTTGAAGAAGGGCGACCAGGGAAAGCAGAAGCAAGATGAGATGCACTACAAAACGCATAACACTTGGATTAAGTGGGCCATGACGAAGGCGAGATGGATTATGAGCAAGGTAACACATGCATTCTGCAGATCCGGAGCGCAACAACTCCATGACGACGGTTGCTCCGACAACGATATCGGCACTCTGGGCGGATGGGCGGAGGGGGAGTTGCGGAGGTGTTATGTGTTCGGCATTCCGTTCAAGCCGGTTTGGCTGCTGGCAGGATTCAGCGGGGATCGTGGAGACTACTACATCGGCAGAGCCCGTGCCAAGCTTCCGCGGCATAAGGATAAGGAGAAGGATGAGTGGTTGCAGCTCTTGGATCTCTTGAGGCTTCACATTTTCCCCTGGGTCGAAGAGGGTTGGAAGAAGGTACGTGCTAGTGTACAGTCTTCGCGTTCGTAGCATAATTTTGATACGCAATTATGAACCGTCCCATTTCTCCTGCATACTCGTCCCGTCAGGTCGAAGAATGGAACGCTACGCAGACCGATCTGCTGAAGAGGCACTATGCGGGGGCGAGGTTCCTTGAGACCCTCGCGAGCATCGGACGCCTCGTTGTTGCACAGGATCTGGCTATGATGTGGGCGTTCTGCCATCAGCACGTGTGGGTGCAGCCAAGCCTCATCATGGGCGGCAGGTCACTGCGCGAAGTCTTTGCAGAGTTCGACCGGTATAAGAAGAAGGACAAGAATTCCAGCTTCATCACCGCATATTCCCGGTTCGCTGTCAAAGGACGCCCGGGATGGCTGTGGGTGCATGCGAGCGAAAGATGCGTCGCGTGCATCGTGTCATGGTTTCCGTGGAGACGCTAAGAAAAGACAGCTCCGAGGCGGCGACCGCAACGGCCATTAAGCTGCTGGACGAGGTTTTACTCGCGTGCAACTTCACGGAATTCGCCAACGGCCTGGCTGTGCTGCATGAGACTCTGCCCATCAAGAAACAGAAGACCGGTTCGTCGACGGAAAAGAGGACCGTCAACGACTTGGCGCGACGCATAGTGGGCTGGCTGTTAGTCAAGAAGGGCCTTCGCGACCAGGAGTGGGCAACTTCGCTGTTTGGGGATGATGAGTGGGAGGAGATCCACAAGGAACACATGGCGCAGGAGAAGGCGGAAGAGGAGAAACAACGAACCGCTGCGGCGAAGAAGGCGGAACGGGAAAAGGCGAAGGGCGAAGCGTCGAAACATGCCTCCGCTCCTCGTCCTGCAGTCTATCCCTGTTCCGCCGCTCAGAGACTTCTCTCAGAACCTCTCTCAACCTCTCTTCCACCCCCTTTAACGTGCCCTCCGCCATCCCCCCTCCCAACTGGCGAACCTGATCACTCACCCTTACGATACTCTCCTGCAAGTTGGAGAGTCTCGTGTCCACCTGCTCGCGAAACCTGGCCGCCGTTTCAGCTTGGCGCCGCCGTTCCTCGTTTCCATGGCGCACTTCTTCCAGGTTGGCCAGGGCGTCGCGGCAGTAATGGACGGTCAGATCGGCCACGTCGCGACTGATGCTGCTGTTGCGGGCCGCCAAGTTGCAGAACGTCTGCGTCACCATTCGGGCTAAGAGCGTCAGACGACGCGTTACCTCTGCCAGGCTTATGTCCCAGCTTACGGCCTCGACGAACCTGTCACCTTGTTTGACCAGGACTGTACTCGTCTGATGCAGCATCAGCCGTATTGCCGTCTCTGCCTCGACCCACTCTACCTGCCAAAACGCTTCTGCCACCCCACCTTGGCCGAGATTCCTCTCCACTGCTCTCTGGTGAAGGGTGGGTCGCCTCTGCCTATTGAGATCCACTGTATCCCTAGGCGCCCCATCATCTGCCACCCTCCATGGCCCCTCTACCCCGGTTCCTGGTCCCCGCGTCGGACTTCCTCCCAAAAATATCCGGACTGCCGGATGTACCGTATCCTCCTCATTCGGCTCCTCTTCTGTTTCCAGCGCATCTCCCTCGTAGTGCCTCACTCCAGCCTCCGGGACGACACGAACCTCCTCCATAGTATTTTGATGCCCTGTCTCTGCCATGCTCTGCGTCTCTCGGTATGCGAATATCTGCGACGCTGCCTCCTCGTCATGCTGCCCCTCTTCCTCTGCGATGGTGTGCCCCTCAGCACCCGCCGTCTCCCGTCCCTCTGTCTGTATCATTTTATTCCCATCTGAACCGTCCTCTCCATCTGCTCCTCGGCCTCTGCCATCTTCTGCGCCTCACCCTCCGCCTTCTGCCGCGCCTCTACAACAGCCTTCTTACGCGCTTCTGCCTGAGCCAGTTGTAGTGCCTCTTCCGCAGCCTGTTTCTGCTCCTCTGCCACCTCCTTCTGCCGCGCCGCTGCTTCTGCCTTATTCCGAGCCTCTCCTTCCTTATGTGCGTCTGCCTCCTCCATATGAAGCGCCGTTGCCTTATCCTTCTGCCTCGCCGCTGCCTCTGATTCCTTCTGCGCCTCTGCCTCAACCATGTTCGGCGCCGCACCCTCCTCCTTCTGCTGCGCCGCTGCGTCTGATTCCTTCTGCGCCTCTGCCTCAACCATCTTCGGCGCCGCACCCTCCTCCTTCTGCTGCGCCGCTGCCTCTGATTCCTTCTGCGCCTCTGCCTCAACCATCATGGGCGCCGCACCCTCATCCTTCTGCTGCGCTGCTGCCGCTGATTCCTTATGTGCGTCTGCCTCATCATTCTGCTGCGCCGCTGCCTCATCCTTCTGGCTCGCCGTTGCCTCTGATTCCTTCTGCGCCACTGCCTCCACTACCTGCAGCTCGACTGCCTCCGACGTCAGCTCTGCTGCTGCACCCGCTTCTTTACGCGCGACTGCCTCCACACCCTTGACCGCCTCTGCACCCACCTTCTGCTGCGCCGCAGACTCTGCTTCCTTTGGCGCCCCGTCCTCTGCCGTAAGTGCCACCTCTGCATCGACGAACCGATGGGCCGCATCCTCTGCATTCTGGTGCGCCTCTACCTCCGCCATCTTATGAGCCTTAGCACCCGCGTTGCTCTCCTCCTTCTTTTTCGCCTCTCCCGAATTCTCTGGCACGTCGATGTCCCCTCTGTGGGCCTCTTCAGCCGCCTTCCGCTTTACGTTGGGCAAGCGAACTTTCACGTATCCCCTATCCTCCTCGATATGCTGCCGCACATTGCTGGCGAGCTCCTCTCCTTGAGAAGAAGTGAACGAGAGAATGGATGAACTATGAACGAAGTGAGTACAAATAGGAAACCCTAGTTGGGTTGTACCCCCTATGGGATACCCCACTATAGCCTACACAAATAAGTAAGCTATAATATTCTGACACACCCCCATAGGCAAAGTGGGGGAGAACAAGGGGTCACAAGACCATTCAAGCAAAGTAAAGCAAAGCTCAGGGTGGATCACAAAGTCACCACCCATTCCGAGCACAAGTTCAAGGACCACAAGGCCAGTTCACATGCAAGATCATATATAGAGATATACAAGAGTCAAGCAAGCAAGAACAAGAGTATATATAGGTCAAGGTACAAGCAAGGTCAAGAAGTGAGCAAGTGAGGCAAGACAGGCACAAGACCCAGCTGCGTGCAGCAACGCTGATGATCACAAGGCGCAAGTGCCTTGGTGAAGACATCAGCAGTGTTGGCCTCAGAGGCCACGTACGCAAGTCGCAACTGTCCACACTGCTGTAGCTCACGAGCAAGAAAGTAGCGGAGAGCAATGTGCTTTGTCCTGTGCTCCAGTCGCTGCTCTCGACACAAGGCCAGCATGGCCTTGTTGTCTACGTACAGGACTGGAGGAGAACGAGGCGGCTCTCCAAGATCGGTCAGCAGGTAGGTGAGCCAGCGAAGCTCCTGGGAAGCCATAGCCCCGGCGTAGATCTCAGCCTCACAACTGGAGCCGAGAACAGAAGACGAGCGGGTAGCCCGCCACGAAACAGAGCCGGAACCAAGGCTGAAGGTATAAGCCTGTGACGACCGCTGCGTAGCCTGGTCGTCAGCCCAAGAAGCGTCCGCGTGCCCAGTGAGAACCACTAGACTGCGCCCTCCAAGCACTAGCCCCATGCCCGACGTACTGCACAAGTAGCGCAACACCCTCTTTGCTGCACCCATGTGCTCTGGTCGGTGTCTCCCAGGAGCAACATAGCGTGCGAGAATGCTATGAGGGCATGCAAGGTCAGGTCGTGTGCAGGTCATCAGGTACATGAGGCAGCCAACCAGCTCTGCATACGGACCACTCGACTCTACGGACTCATCCGAAGGCAGAGCTGAGAGCGAGTGGCGAGTAGGCAGAGGAGTGGCCTGAGGCGAGGAGTACGTGAAGCCAAAGCGCTGAAGGACCTGCTGCACCATGTGTGACTGAGTCAGGGTAATGGTGCGGCGTGCTCTGTCCCGGGTGATCTGCAAGCCAAGGTAGCTGCGCAGTTCACCCAGGTCAGTGCACGTGTGTCTCTTCTGCAGCTCAGACTTCACGTAGGCGAGTCCAGCAGTGTCAGCTGTGGCAAAGACCAAGTCGTCGACGTACACGAGGATGTAGAACGGCGGCAGAGAGGTGTCGGTGCGCAGAAACAGCGACGGGTCGGCAGTAGAAGGAGCAAACCCAAGTGCCGCCAGCGTAGTCCTCAGTGTGTCGTGCCACTCACGTGGCGCCTGGCGGAAACCGTAAACTGGACGCCGGAGACTCCACTGGGTACCAGGAGGGAAAGACCCGGTGAAGCCAGGTGGGCGACGCAGCCAGATCTCCTCGTGCAGGCTGCCCTGCAAGAAAGCAGTGCTGAAGTCGAGGGAGTGCAGCTCGTAGTCACGGTGAGCAGCAACCTGCAGCAGTACCCGAAGAGTGGTCATCTTCGGGGTGGGGGAGAAGGTCTGAAAGTAGTCAACTCCCTGTCGCTGACTGAAGCCACGAGCCACGTAACGCGCCTTGAAGACAGGCGGAGAACCCGGCGGCCGCTTCACCCTGAAAATCCACATGCCACTGACTATGTTCGCCCCAGGAGGGGGAACAGCGTCAACGTAGGTGCCTGTGGACTTCTAGGAAGCCATCTCTGCATCCATAGCTGCCTGCCACTGAGAGGAGTAGGGACCCTCTATCGCCTCCGCGTAAGAGCGCAGAGTCGGGATGTCTAGTGCATCCGGGTCTCCCTCAGGGGCGAGCAGGTACAGACGCGAGATGAGGTGAAGCGGCGGCCAGACACTAGAACTCCTCCTGCCTGTCCTCAAGGACGTCCGTGCCAAGGGCACACTCACCCCCGACGGACGGAGGACAGGCAGACTCAGACTCAGCGACAATACTAGCAGCTTAGTCTAGACGACAGCGCGCAGCAAAGTCGACGAGCTCAGTGACAAGGGCAGACGCAGCAGAAGACTCGAAAGAAGGGTCGGTGACAGCAGTAGCAAGGAGACGCGTGACAGTGGGACTGGCAGCACGAAGAGAGTCCGACTCCGGGTCGGCAAGAGCAGGAAGAGAGGAAGAAGGAGGAGAAGGCAAAGGGGCACGCAGAGGAGCAGTGGACGGACGCAGAGACATCCGGTGCGTGCCAGGGACAGGAGGAGGACGCTGACGCGAACCGCGACCACTAGTGCGTGCAAGACGAACAGGCGACGCAGGACGAGACGCAGGCTCACGACGCTCAGTAAGACCTACAGTAGGACCAGCGTAGGGAGAAGGAGCAGGTAAAGGGGAGGCAGGCTGTAGCTGTGACTGTGACGGGACAGGTTGTGGACCCTCTAAGGGAGGAGGAGGAGGACCAGGAGGAGGTGTAAGACCAAGAACCTGCTGCAGGAGCGGAACGAAGTACGGTCGGGGCCGCGCGGCGACGCCAGAAACAGCAGGGACAGCACCAGTACCCCCAGCAGGAGTACCCGCTCCAGCAGC